GGCCATTCTGGAGTAACTTTTGGAGTAAAACTATTACCTACTTGGCCATTCTGTAGTAACTTTTGGAGTAAAACTATTACCTACTTGGCTATTTTGGAGTAACTTTTGGAGTTCCATTTTAATTCTAAAAGTATAACTTTTTACCTAGTTTTTGTAGGTTTTATGTTTTACAACTGTATGCATCTATAAGTACCTAGACATAATACTTTTTATTATTATATCTAAAAGTATAGATTTTTACCTAGTTTTTGTAGGTTTTATGTTTTACAACTGTATGCATCTATAAGTACCTAGACATAATACTTTTTATTATTATATCTAAAAGTATAGATTTTTACCTAGTTTTTGTAGGTTTTATGTTTTACAACTGTATGCATCTATAAGTACCTAGACATAATACTTTTTATTAATACTGAAAGGTGGACAACCAGAAGGTATCAGTAGAATGTAGGGAAGTTGGCTTTCAGCTTTATCAATACAGTGACAACAAGTGGAAATTAAAAGATAAAACCAGGTTTGTTGAATATTTTATATTCCTGTTTTCATTAATGTATAATTTATATGGACAGTACTTTTTAGGAAGCTAGTTAGACATATTAGAATTATTAGAGAATTTGGTAGTATTTGTTTTTCACACTATATCTTCCAATCTTTGGATAATAAGGTGTAAACTTTATCTTCTCATGACATGTTATAAACCTTCAATGTTTTTACCACATTACATAACATAAAGATAACTAGATTTTATAATATTGTACGTACAAAAATTGGGCAGAGCAACTGTTATAAAATAATATCAGCAATCACCTTCAATTCATTTTTATGCAGACCAGGCACCTAATAATTCCTCATATGATATAAAATGCATACAAATGGACATTCAGACTGTGCTCATAAATTAACATTTGGTGGAGATGGCTTTAGATCTTTGCAGTTGATGAAATTATGGAGTGTGGCCACCATGAACAACAAGGGCTGCTGGGTACCGGTGTTGCTTCTTAAAATTAGTGTGTTGATAAGATCTTCTGTAAAGGTTTTTGGTATATAACTAGAATGCACCTGGTATAAAAGCTGGCCTTTTAAATTGTATGTCTGGCTGTATGTACTCTGAACATACAGTTGCAACTCCAAATATCTCATTAGGCTTCGAGCAGGTACCCTCCAATTTGCAGTCAACCAGAAATGACAAGGAACAGTGGTCTGCTGTGTTCATTGTGTGAACTGGTTTGAAGCAGGTTCTGCATTCTGCTGTGCTTACAATACTTTGTCACTTCATCAGCTTGCTCTGATTAGCTGGCTTCCATTAGTGTGTATCTTCTCTCAGATCTAGCCATGTTCATGAGTGATTTGGAGCATTAAGTTCTGATTTACTGTATAATGAACTGAGGAGAGTGAGTTACATTATTTTCTAACAGTAGTTTTATTTTGTCATAGTTATAATTTTACTCTTTATTCTCTGCAGTGTACATTATTTATTGTATGTTTCAGCTTGATTTAGAGCGTAAGTTATACTATTTTTACTTTTGTAGAATATGATTTACAACCTAATCTGTGATTATTGCTTCTTTTTATCAACATATGCTGTGTCTTTGTCATTATCAAGCATTGATCATTAGTAGGCTCGTTCCTTCAAGTGTTAGTAGAATTTATAAATTTCATAACATAGCTACTATAAAAGTGCAGTCATAATAATGTAATGTACAAACATTGTTACAAAACTATTGTTGAAACATTTTACAGTAATAGAATAGTGCAACACAACATTTATTGAAATATTTCTATTTTTATGTATGAGAATATGTTTCGTATTGTTAATCAGTGATAAAACAAGTTTTCTTATAACTGAACGTGTGTGGGAATGGACTGACCCATATTGAAGAATGAATGTTGACTATAATTATGAATTTACCACTTGTACCTACACAAAATATGGCAAGCTTTTAGTAAAATGTACAAGTCTGTTGCACAAAAAATCAGAACTGTTATAAAGTATTTGTACTCAAGGTATGTCTGTGAATTGATGATGTCACTCTGACAACTTGGAGTGCAAAGTGAAGCATATAAGTACTTTTGTCCATCTTACAGTTTGCAAATTGTATTTGCAAAACCTCTAAAACGCATATCTATAATGTTTTAGTATCCCTGTAAATTGTATCTGGTACTTTCTATCTTATATCACAGACTGTCACTAAATAAACAATGTAGGGTGAAATGAATAGTTGATGACTCAGACATCAGAGACATAATACTATGTTGGATAGCACTGTGTAAAAGGTTGTAGCATACATACTTTGACCCTCACCCATACACATAGGGATAAAGTGGATTTAGGCAGTGTGTTCAATGTGTAGACTTCAGACTTCTAAATGACTTGTTGAAACCAAAATAAGGACATGTTCCATATTGTTGATCATGAATTCATGTATTCCATTCCATCATATTTTGTGTAGGAACATATACTAAGTTGTGTTTGAAGGATAAAACTATATTTTTGTTTACTATAAGAATATGTCCTGAATTATCATTCAGTGATAAAACCAATTATGTTTTGTATAATGTCGTTGTAAGTTGTTTATACTGAAAACTTTTACATTGTTTTACAATTTTTCTCAGTGTTTTTTTGGAACAAGGTCATAGTGCACTTGGTATAGCCTCAACACTTCTTCAATCTAAGGTGTACAGACATCTGGTGGATTTTGACAACCACCTTGATAACATAACTGAAGATTGGACTAACCAATTATTGAATGAAGAAATAGAACATTGCTTATAGCACTAGTAAGTATGTTTTAACTGCTTTTTATTACATATGTATCACTAATTTGAAAGTGGTCTTAAATGTAGTCCAAGGTGTTGAGGTTCAAATTATGTTACTTTAATCACAATTTCATACTCATTTATCCCACAGAAAATTTTCTTTTGTTTATAACTATTTCCATTGTGGATTTTGTACAAAAACTATCATCAGTTTCTCAGTTGTGGGTTGGCCTTATCTCATTCTAGTCATAATAGTGCATAGATTGGTAGTTATTTTTGTGGGACTCCATAGTGGGTGAGAACTGTGGATATTGAATATTTCTCTTCTTTTTTTTATCATGGATAATCCAAAATATGATATAAAAATTAAATAAAATAAAAAACCAATAATTGGAAAATGGCCATGCATGGAAAATTGTTCAAAAATCACAATTTCCAACTAATCCTGTACCTCCCTTTCTGATTTTTCATTCATTGTCAGGAAAATCTCTGGGCAGAAAGAATTAGATGGGCTTGCTGACTCTCGTAACTTGGTCAAGAAGCTACAATCTGGGGTCATTTTGGTTGAAACTCCTCTTGAGATCAAAGTTTATCAGGAATATGCCTATTGAGAATACTTCCCATGCTTCTTTGAATTCCTCACTAAAAGGTATTTGCTTAACATCCCCCATGTCAGAGATTCTCTCTGGTTTCTCCAGCCAAGGTGTTTCTACTGGAATAATGCAGCTTAGTAACATTCTTATTATAACATTTACATTGTCACCTCCAGCTGACACCATTAAGGCAGGTTACCTGAACTGTAAGGTGAGGCTCTATATTCCTAACTCTCTCAGATATTTCCAGTTTCAGCAGTTTTGACACTCTAAGACATCTTTTCATGGTCCTTTAACTCTCTCCCTATGGGTTTGACTGAATCAACCGAGTTCATGACCCCAAAACGACCATCATAGTTTCCATACTATAACTTTAAATACGTTTCGTGTATCTTGACAAAATTGTGCAAAATTTCAGTAAAGTCTTTTGTACACAGAAAATCATAATTTTTTATTAAATATTTTTATTAAAATTTCTCTGTGAATATATAAAATCAAAGTGTTGACTGCTCCAAATGGAAAGTGATCTTCATGTTAAGATTAAAAAATACTTTTCTTTAACTAAAAATTGTCAAATTTCATCTGCATAATCTCTAACACCTCTTAAATAAATATCAAATGTTTTTTTTTTAAGTAAACTTTACATTTTATCAGATATTTTCTGTATCCTTACTCTATATGCATTCAGTCAATTTGATGGACCTTGTAACCACCTTAAAAAAATACATCTAAACTGTCTTTTCTTTCAAGAATGACTGCAAGCTGTAACAAGAAACTGCACCTGTTTATCCTAAATAGCTTAAAGCTCGTACCAGCATGCATCTGTTTCTAAATAGATTTGTTGTTGTTGTTGCCCTTTGAACTGTGCATAACTAATAATCTCACCACACAAGTTGTAAATTATTTGGCAAACATCATGAAGAATTTTTATTTATTTTTTCATTATTTGACCTAATCTAACCTCACCTAACAAGTTTCTAATTTTTACATTTTATTTACATCTACAATATTAAAGAATACACATGAAAATAGTACTTACCTGGGTCTTCTTTTTTTTTACTGTCAACTATTGAGGAAACTTAAAACTTCTTTTTTTATACTAATGATACTGCTATACTAAATAATTTTTTATATAATTAAATAATGCACCCAAGAACACAGAATAATAACATGCAAAAAGCAAATAATGTCCTACAACTATGATAATTTATTGGCTTTGTAATAACCGCCTTTAAAAATTCATCAGAACTCGTCGATGTGATTGCTGTGAGAATCAATTTTAAACTGAATGGTGAAATAGACAATATCCTGTACTGAAAACAACACAGCATTATATGTCATTTGATAGATTAAACTTTTGGCTTTCTAATGGTAATAAATAATATAGTATAAAATGTCAGAGAGGACTATTGGCAATTTGTGAAAGGGATGATGTGACAGGTGGGCTTGGCAAATTGCTCTGATTTTCTAGTTTATGGTTCTGTAGACAAATAAGTTTAAAAGCTATAAATATTATACGTTTTTGTGAGTAACAGCTATATTATAAGGAGTAATTTGCATTAAATTCTGTACTTTTTGGAAGGGTGGTAAATAAATTAATGAAGAGGGAAGACCAAGAGAACGAAAGTCACAATTCACATACTAGGAGAGGATGAGGATTTTTTAAATATTGCAGTATAAAATTTATAGGATACTAAATTTTGAATGTAATTCTCCAAAAAAATCATGACATGTGAACTTTGACCTGCCTGTGGTATGAGTGTTAACATGTGCTTGCTGTGGTGCCAAAGGCTATGAGTGTCAATTAGACCCACATTGCATTAACTGTATTGCTTCCCATCCTTCTTACTTTTGTTTGTGCCCTAAATGTGAGAAGGAGAAAGAAGTATAGTGGTTAAGGAATGTTAACAACATTTCTTATCCCAAGGTACAGAAATTGTTGTCCCCTCTTCCTCTCAGATAACTGTTGTACTCTATTTCACTGTAACAGTTGTAGTGCAGAAAGATTTCTCCATTCCTGCCACAGTCTTTTTCTAGGCATTATGAAAGGTCTTTCTATCTTCCATTAGTAAGTCTATGTCTATGTCTACTCCAATCTCCACCCCTACAGCAGAATTCAGTGAAAACTTGGGACCCTCTCCATTGGTCCCAAGGTGCAAGACTGTCACTTAGTCATGTATTCATTCACTGGAGTTGAACTTGTCTGACAGGTACCTACTCTATTGTTGCAGAACAAGATTCATGGAGATCAATGAACCTCTTTCTTCTAAACAAAAATAACATGTTCATACTAGAAAACAAAGGCTCTCCACAAGGTTCTCCTGCTCTATCCAAGTAAAAATATAAAAAACTTTATATAACAGAACTGCTGAGGTTTCTGTTCTAACTTAGATAACATTAAGGCTTTGATTGACTTTTACTGTCTCATGCATCTCTCCTTACAGGAGACATTCCTGAGACCTGCTTATGTTGTCACCTGTTTCCATTGGTTATACCATCACAGGTTCTTCTTTTTACCTGTCATTGAGAGAGGATGTGATTAACCCTATCACCCCCGGGTACCCTTTACTGCACATGACACAAGGTTTTAGTGTCTTACATTCAAAATTTTATTATACTACTTTTTGTTTATGTTATACCAATTAGAATAGTATACAAGTTTTAAGTTCTTAAATCTACAAGGGCATATTTTAAAAAATCCTGAATTAACGTTAGTGTGACCCACGTGACACATTTGGTCTTAGCATGTCATCATCCATATTTTATCCCTCGAAAATGTACAAAATTAAACGTAAATTACTCTCTATAAAATCATTATTGCTCAGACAAACCATAATTTTTATAGTCTTCAATTTTGT